CCACACTTTATCTACCATTTTTTGACAGAAGGTGTTTAAAAACAGAAACTCATTATGTGAATGTGTTATGCATGGTATGATGATTCCCTGAAGGGATGTGCGTATGTGTCCATATCGGGGGCAGGGAGCAGGAAATCAGCCAACAGAAGTGTTTCATTGATGCAAGTGGAATACTGAAATAGTTCTGAAGTCAGACCTTTACCTTGTTCCTGTTTGTAGGTATAGAAATTGGCAGCAATTTCAGGAGATATGAACTGAATTGCTAAATCAGTTCTAAGAGAATAGGAAGCAAAAGTAAGCAAGACTTTTGTATATTCACACTAACAATAAGTATCAGCATTAAAATAGGGTGAAGTTGTGACAAGTAACAGAAGCAAACAGTTTTAGGAGTTTAATAATTCTTTACATCCCTAGTGCAGCTCTCACTCATATCAGTAGCATTTTAAGTATGCAGAAGACAGCAATAAGAGCAAACTTACCTACAGTAGCTCTAATTAAGGGGGAGGAATCACCAATATTATTCAGACATTCACTTTTAATGAAGTCAGTTACCCCATTGGGAAAGTTGTGAAAATGTGCTTTTACATTATTCTTCAAGATGAGACCACTCAAGGAACGCGTAGGTTCATCTGCAAAAGAAAATACTTACAGTCAATGTTCAATCAACTCATAAGGCAGATTTCCAGAAAAATGCAACAAGATCAAAACTTTATATAGAGATAGTAATCTTCATTTCCTTATCTCTCCTTCCAACTACACCCATCGATTCACATAGCAAAGCTTTTCAGGTTCAGAGTTCACTATTTCTATTTATTCAAAATTAGAATATCAGTATTACAAATTGCACATTCTAAGATAAAATTTTGTAGAAAAATATAGGCAAGGAATAGATCTGAAGTCACAGGATATAGGAGACTCATAAAAGAAATTGGTCAGCCAGAGACATTCAGACATTCTGATTATACTAACTGGCTTGCTGCAACACTGATACTGTAAGAAATTGATGACAGACCTGCTTTCACCATAGTAAGATATAGAAATGATGTAGGGACTATGCAGTAAATTCTCCACCCCCTACTTCCACAGAAATACAGTGTTCAATTTTTCTATGAAATAATATATTGTAACCCCTTCAGATACCAGCTGTTCTGTTGATCTATTAAATTAATAATTAGAGGGAGAAGGGGAAAAAAAAGTGTTTAAACAATGTTAACAGGTGTCATATGGTATGAACCATAAGAGAAAAGCGACCAGAATTGACCAGAACTGATTAAGAATTTAAGTTTAGGCAACAGTTTGAGTTCTCTTCACTGAGCTCTTTTTGCCTGCAAATTTCTGTAGATTACTGGGGCAAGAGGAGGAACAGAAAAAGAACAGCCTAGATTTTTCACTTATATTGGAGAAGACTCATGTTTAGTTAGTTCTTCAACCAAGACCTTGAGTAACTTGGTATTATTTCTCAATCATGCTGAAAGTGAGAGCTGGATGTTCTACCTAGAAAGGATTAGTTTATTGCATAAGAAATTTAAATTTACAGTTTACAGCAACCCTAATCAGCACAGGAAGCTAATTTTAATTAGCATTTTAGCCACCTGTTTGAGTTTTTTGGATGAAGCCCTGATCTGAGCAAGAAATAAGGATGTTCAAAGTTTCTTTGTGCCAAGAATTAGTTTATACATGGATCTATTCCAGGCCTTCAAAACTATTAACATCCCAACAGAAATAAGGATAAGCAAAATAAGAGATACAACTTTCAAATATAAAATAGTGTTTTCAAACTAAAGTTACTGCATCACAACATCAAGACTCTCAGTACACCCATGATGTCTGACTGACAGACAGTATAAAGACACTTTCTAGTGCGATCTGTGCTAGTTAGAACAGAAACAGCACTTCTCAGAAGAGGGGGTTTTGTTTGGCTGATCAGAAATTAAAATTAATTTTAATCAACTGATTTTATTTAAGTGTCAAAACCAGACTGCCATCATATACTTTTTAATCTTGTTTTTATGTTCATATTTCAGTTCTCCTAAAGAAGCATTATTTTTCATGCTCCATAACTATAAATGTATTGATTTACAAACAAATATGTCCTTTACATAGAATTCAGGAACTTTATAAACCAGGAAGCCACCCTATGCATACATGTTTGAAACAATTCTATAATGTCACCTACACTATAGTTTTTAAATACCCACCATCTTCTAAACGATATAAAAATAAAAGTCAGCCAGTTCACTTGCACAGCACTGGATTTCAAGCACCAACAACTTTTCTGGGAGAATGGAGTAAGAGGGAAGAAAGGATTTACTAGTTTAAATAAAAATATTAAAGACTGGATCAGTGGACACACTTTTCTCAACCGCAGAACTTGGTTGTGTGATGTGTCATTTATTACTACTATTATTAATTGGCAACTCAAATCAAGTAACTTTGTCATTTTGTTTAAAGTTTTGAAGATATTATTAATACAGATCAGGTGGAGAATGACCTAAAAAAGAAGCTCTTACTTGAACTCTTGATTAGTCTCAGGTTTGCCTGAAATACTCTGAATTAAAAGTAAAATCTCTGCATCAAATCTTATGCCAATGTAGTATGTCAAACTCTGATTGCTTTATGTAACTAATCCATTGATAGGTACACACAACTTCAAGAAATCCAGTCCTCCATGATTATTAAGATTTAAAGTTGTGCCTGGTGAAGAAGGAAGCCAAAGGAGTCTTACTTTAATTTCGACACAATTTAAAACCCTCTCAAGCCACAATAAACCATCATTGCCAGCAGCCACAGTTAGACACAGAATACAATAGTTACTCATTCTGTATCAGCCAGCAGTACCTTCTTGGGGTGACAGAATTCAGAGTGCCAACTAGAGTCTGATCAGAATATGGTACATTAGCCACTATTAGTATAAATTCCAACATGAAAATATTAAACAAATTTGAGACAATTTGCAACAGCAAAGATACAGATACTATTAAGTTCCCTGTGTCAGAAACAGGCAGACTAGCCAGTTGGTTTAGATAAAAAGCAAGGTCACATTAAGGTGAAACTTCACCATTGTTTTCTTCATTAGCTATCCTATGGTATGCAGCAGCATGAAACATTAAATCCATTCCTTTAGCCAAGATAAGAGAAAGACTGCTCTTCATAGTAAGCGTTTATCACACAGACCTGCAAAAATTCCATGGGATTCATAGTTGTATTGCATTTGGTGACAAGGTTTTGGTAGCGGGGGAGGGGCTACAGGGGTGGCTTCTGTGAGAAGCTGCTAGAAGCTTCCCCCATGTCCAACAGAGCCAATGCCAACCGGCTTCAAGATGCACCCTCCCCTCTGGCCAAGGTCAAACCCATCAGCGACGGTGGTAGTGCCTCTGGGATAACATATTTAAGAAGGGGAACCTGTAGTGGGTGAGGGGAGCGGGATGTGAGAGAAACCCCTCAGCAGGCAGTGAGGTCAGTAAGGAAGGAGGGGGAGGAGGTGCGCTGGAGGAGGGGATGCCCCTGCAGCCCGTGGTGAGACGTCAGGCTGTCCCCCCCCAGCCCGTGGAGGTGAGCCATGGAGCAGATGTCCACCTGCAGCCCATAGAGGACCCCACACCAGAGCAGGGGGATGTCCCCGAAGATGGTCGTGACTTCATGGGAAAGCCCACGCTGGAGCAGTCTGTGCCTGAAGAACTGCAGCCTGCAGAAAGGACCCGTGCCAGAGAAGTTCGTGAAGAACTACAACCTACAGAAAGGACCCATGCTGGAGAAGTTCACAGAGGACTGTCTCCCATGGGAGGGACCCCACGCCAGAGCAGGGGAAGAGTGAGGAGTCCTGCCCCCGAGGAGGAAGGAACGGCAGAGACAACATGTGATGAACTGACCACAGTCCCCATTCCCCATCTCCCTGCACCACCGGGGGGAGGCGGTAGAGAAAATCAGGAGTGGAGTTGAGCCTGGGAAGAAGGGAGGAGTGGGGGGAAAGGTGTTTTAAGATTTGGTTTTACTTCTCATTATCCTGTTCTGATTTGAATGGTAACAAATTAAATTGGTTTTGTTTTTTCTCCAAGTTGAGTCTGTTTTGCCTGTGACCATAACTGGTGAGTGATCCCTCCCTGTCCTTGTCTTGACCAATGAGCTTTTCTTTCTATTTTCTCTTCCTCATCCCACCATGGGTAGGACTGAGCGAGCAGCTTCATGGTACTTTGTTGCCAGCTGGGCTTAAACCATAACAACAGTGAAAACTGCATCTCTAACAAGTGAAAAAGAACTCATGAAGCAACAAAAAGAAGAAAAATTAAAAACAAAAAGCAAAATCAATTATCACCATACTGAGAGGCGACAAGCAGAAATCACAAAGATGGACTTAGTGCCAAACAAACACCAACCACTTGAGCTAGAGAAGCACCACATAATCTGATACTCAGGCATTTAAAAAAACAAAACAAACCACAACCAAAACCCATACCACAACATAGTCAAAATCTTGATTTGAGAAAAATTTCTTGATATGACCGCACAAGGATATTTACAGAATCCAGGATGTTCAACAACTTAACAGCTACACTGTCAGAAGACAGTAATACAGATCTGGATGAAGTTCTTGCTGTAACACCAAGACTACAGGCAGGTGGCTTAAGAGCTGAGTAAGACACTCTTTAGCGTTCATAGATTCTGTGATTAAGTTCTGTCAGCCATATGCTTCAGCCATCAAAAAAGATCACAGTCAACCTGGAAGTATAGAGAGTTGACAAGAACATATAGTACAAGAAAAAGCAGCAAAATGAAGCAAATCTCTGGCATTTGATATCTTTGGTGCCAAATCAGTTAATCAGTGGATGATTCCCCTCTCACATTGCCTCACTTTATAATAAAACTATATCACATAATCATAATTTGGTTCTCAGTATATTTTCAATTCTGCTGCAAGACTCTAATACCAGTTCCAGATTTTAATGGTTTACAGACAGAGCAAACGGACACATACCCACATTACACAGATATCAATTATTTCAGGGCTACTGCAGTGCTTTTAAGAACCAGAATGTGTCCTCAAATAGTCATATTTCCTCTAATGAGGGTTTGTATGATATAGGATCATACATGAAAGCAACAAAGTTTTTGTAGCTCACCTGCAAGTCCAGGTCAGCATTTTTTTCACCGTGTCTTTTCATCCTCTCTTCCTTAGAATGTAACTTCTTAGATTGCTAAATGAACTGAGCAACTGGGATGAGGGTAGCCTTTATCCATTCACAGACTGCAATATAATGATTATGAACATGGCTATATTTCGCCCTGTTACTCTTGTGATATTGGCAACTTTAAATGTTAGGGTGAGACTTTTCTAAAACAAAACTCCTCTGTCAATTTCAATCTTAAAGCTATTAAGCCTTTTTCAGAAATAAGCTGTCATTCTGTGTGTTTTAATTAGTGATATGGATTTAACATGTACAAATATAAAATGTGATAAAAATCATGACTAAGCGTCACTGTTGCACATGAAGATTTCTGATGCATTAATGACAGACTGTCTGTCTCTTAAAAGAGCTAAAAGCAAAAAAATAAGGATCACACCAGACCAGTGTCACATGGGAAACAGAAAATGAATAATTTCTTCCATCCTAATGTACAAGAACACAGTACA